AATCCAGGTTCACCTCTAACTGTGGTAGATCACTGTGGTACCTTATGCTGAACACTTAACCTGTTTTAGGGCAGGTCCTAAATGAAATATAAGCCAAAGACTCATTGTGTGATTTAGTTTCTGAAAAGATGAATAAGAGGTGATGCAACTCAACAGTACACTCAGTCCGTCCTAACTTTTTTTTTTAAATAATGAGCGAATGAGTGATTTATTTCCAAAACAATCATTTTCAATTATATTTTGGGGTTAGACGATCTGCTTTCAATCAGATTCTGTTTTTATAAACACTTATTCAACTTGTTTGAAATTGGGGTTAATTATTTTAAGCACAGTAATTTTCTTTTTCTTAGTTCTCTTTTCTTTTTCTGTTGTTAAGGTTTGCAATGCTCCCAATTTAAAAAGAAAATTGAAATGATTTCTAGTTTACTTCACAAGACCTTTCCTTGCTTCCTTTTACATTTAGGCCTATATGTGAAACTCTTAATTACCACAAGTACATAAACTTCAAATTAATGTGATCCTACAAAGCAATAATCCCTATCCTCACATTATCCACCACCATGGTTTTCTAAGCAGAAACAACAGGTTATGTTTAAATAGGCTCCCCTCACCTGTTTGTATTGTGTTTGTGCTTCCTGATAAATCCTATTGCTTTTGCTGCTGCCAGATTCAAAATTCTCTGCGGGGATCCGTAAAGTCACATCTCAAACAGGGATGGCAGAGAATTCATCCCTTTCCAGTAAATCTGAAAACCCTCTATAGTAATTTCTCTTGTATAATTGAAAGACTTTAAAATCATATCCGCTTTCATTACTGGGGGATAAGGGATTTTTGTCAGTTTTGGCCAAATTTCTGTCTGTCAGTCACACAACACTTCTATCCAGCAGAACACGATGGGAATGCATCCGTTTTTTAGGACCAATTAAAAACAACACAAGGGAGAAGGAGCAATTCTAAAACTGTAATGTGGAGGCAAGAGGCAGCCTCTAACACCACTTCGAGTGCACTTTACAGTGTCTGCCCTCAGGTCAGAGCTTTATTTCTTTGAATGGCAGTTTGGAAACGGACTGAACAGCATTTAAGAGACTTCTTAAAACACATATCATTCATCAAAAAACAACAAATGTGGCTGAGGGGCCTCAGGTCCAAAGGTCCTGTTTGTCAGCACTGTGGATTTAGTTGAAATGACACAGCTTAGTTGATAGTTTTTGTTGAATCAAAAGATGGGATCAAGATGAGCTATGTCACGAATTTAGACACTCTTTTTGTAAGGTCAAGTGGTTTTTAAGGATGGTGATTTTATATCATATCAAAACAGCAATACACCTGATTATAACTATTCTAATAATTCAGAGTTAGAAGTTTCTGCATGGGTAGGTGGACACTGACTTCAAATTACTATTTTAAATCATTTTCAGACATTCACTGTTTAGTTTCAGTGTCATTTCTAGAGATGTGTGTCCTGATTTAATTCATGACACCATGTTAAAACTCATGTTTACATTAAAGGGATATTCCAGCATAAAATTAAGCTAGGGTCAAACACAGCAGCCGCTTGTTTGCACAGAGACCTCCAGGCGAGTCCATCGACAGCAGCGGGGGGACGCAGCTCAAGGAAGAACATTTATGATCATTTCTTTATGGAAAATCAATCAGACCGAGACGCTAAGGCAGAAGAACTACCGCGTCTGCAGAGCAAAATGATTAATATGGTGATTATAACTTAAAGGAAATGATAAGGAAATGATCATAAATGTTCTTCCTTGAGCTGCGTCACCCCTCAAACGGTAATGGACTGGCCTGAGGTCTCCTGAGGTCAAACAAGCGGCTGCTGGAGAGAGAGTAGGTGAGTTGTGTTTAGTCTCTTTGCTAAAGAAATCAGGCAAAGCTAAAAAGATGTTTGGTGGCTAGTACTGTGGTTGGGACCCTATATGTACTGTTGATGAAGTTAGGTGCTGCTCTGAGCATTATTTGTGGCTATAGTGTGGCTTTTGTTGGGCCTGTGGCTCTCTGTATTGCTATTGGTCGTTATTAAAGTTGATATAACTAGAGAAGCAAGCAGCCAGCAACATTCATCTCTCAACAGGGTGTCAAACTCAGTGTTCCGGTGTGTCTGACCCAACTTAATTTTACACCGGAAGATCCCTTAAGAGACTAAGAGAATAACATTGTGGGGATAAATGTAACAAAAGACAAGAGTGCAATAAACAACCATTTTCATGCCTCAGTCATAACAAACAAGCCCAAAAAGAGACAAGGTCATCAATCACCTATCAAGTTATTCAATCCAAGGCTATAGCTGAAGTGTCAATGATGAGATAGAGGGTCTAAAAAGACTGAAATTGTGCTGCAGGTTACTCTGAGATCACGAAGAGGCCAGAGAAATTCGAACGAAGTGAGTAATTTTAGCTGCAATTTTTAATCGCATTTTCAAGATGGTGACTACATCCTTGATAGAATTAGCCATCAAATCCACAAAAGATTCATCCATCTTACTGTCAGCTATCCTCCAGGACATCAGGCCATGATTGGATAAAGGGGAAAAAAATGTTACCCACCCTGTTGTCATTACCAGTCCAATGCTGGCAGGTCTATTTTTACTCCAGGTAATGAGGAAGGAAGTTAGTTAACTCTGCCTTGATCCTTCTTGAAAGCCTAGTGGGGGTTTGAGCCTGTGTAAAGCGGAAGAGGGACGTCTAATGGGTTCTTTAATGTCTAGTTTAAATATATCTTTCTCAGAGAGAGGCCTTTAAGAAAAAAAATGTACACATGAACAAGTGTGAATATCATCCTGTCACTCTTTTCAAAGCCTCATCTCAAACTTTTATGTGCTTAACGGTAAAAGTGTTTGCCGGGATGAAAGAGTGTTATAGACCAAAAACGGCTGATAGTCTTCTGAGGCGCCCTGCAAGTGCAGAATAATACTATGACTATGTAGAAACAGTAGTGCTTGAACAATGCAGGGACCCTTTGTGTATAACATCAGCAGCTATGTTTCTTTTAGGTTTATGCAGCAAAGTCAACCTGACAGACCCAGACAGTACATGAACACGCTCATATTTACGTTGCAAAACAAGTATCCTCACAGATTTATTTGCAAAACTGTACGAGATAGCTCCAGAGCAAACAAAAAACATGATCATTCATTTAATGTTACTGTCACGAAGATGGTCTGTGTTTTTTAATTATATTTTAGTTTCCTTGTTCTTATGTTTTATCATTTTTAGGACCGACTAATACAATCATGTCAGTCAAGTACAAAATAATATTACCAGTTATGAGGTACAGACTTGGGAAGTAAAACTTCATAGTGACAAAGTTTTGCAGTTTAGGCAGGAGAATGAGTGTCCGGTTACTTTTACTCCTGTCAGCCCTGTTACCATAACGTCAACCCTGTTGTTGTCATAATTCGATGAAAATGTAAAAAAATGACAACTCAAATGGGCTTTTCACACTTATCTTTATAATTTAAACTACATTATATTTTAGATAGGGCCATTTTTCAACATTTCTCTTCTCAATAATATCTGACATTTGTTGAGACGTGATCGCCATGCAAAATTAGGGTGTACTTGATCATCTGAATGACAAATATCTAATTGGAGAAAAAATCCACAAAATATAATAATCTCAATGGAAAGGGAGACTAAAGTACTGCTAATATATGCACCATATATTGCATATTTCTAATAAGAAATATTGTATTTGTTACGTTTATGTCAGTAACGGGGTTGACATGATTATGAAAACAACCAGGAGAAAAACAGTTTTAAAATATGAAATAAAAATTAACAATTAAATAGAGTTTCAATTTTAAATTTTCTAAGTTGAAAAGGCACCGATTTCATGGAATGACCCTCTTTCTTATGTGATTGAATTTTAGTTGACACTCATTTGTGGGGTGTGATAGTGTGACCAAAGTAGTGGTATTAGTAATCCTCTGGTACTACATCATTAGTCCCAGTCTAATTGTGTGTCTGTCTTAAAGCTGTGCTCTACTCATCATGGCAAATATAAATGTTTGCTGATGCCAAGTTTTTAATATCGGCCATTTTCACTTGTTTAGGAAGTTTCTATGATAAACTGACCAGCTGTTTGGTGACAAATGAAAAACTGTTTGGAAAACCTAACACTGCAGCCACAGCAGACTAATATTGCTCAAAAGTACTTCAACAAGATTTTAAGCCTTTTCAGGATTTATGGAAGTATTTTACACAAACACGCAGCACACAAACTTCCAATTCAGTCACCTTTATGACAAGAAAGCCTGAGTCACCACTTCAATTAAAGCTAACAGCACATAAACACGCTGCAGGAACACAATAAAGACTCACCTGTTGGTGGCAGGTCTTGAGGCCGCCTCCTCTTGTCCTGGAGTCCCTTACTTCTCGGGTGACCAGACGGCCTCTTTTTTCCTGGACCTGTCCTCTTTTGGGGGGGTCTGGGGGAGTTTATAAAATCCTTCAAATGTCCGGGGTTTTTGTATGGAAGTTTTGAGTTTGTGTCGCGTTGACCAATTGAGTCATAACCGCACAAAACACTCGACTCGACCCGAAAAACGTCTAATTCACAACGCGCGACTCCGTGAATCCGTCCCACTTAGTATCCTCTTTTTTGGGGATTCAGAATATGGTCACCCTTCCTAATCCACAGTGGAGTTGTCAAATTACAATAAAATGTGTGTCCTTCAGGTCAGAAACATACGGAGTTATTTCATCGTTCGAAAACGAGTATTTCCGTTTTTCAATCATCATTTCACACAAGCGTTCCCATCCATTTCCGGGATTCCATTTGAATATTCCCGCCAAACATCTGGAATGGACTGGTCCACCTGGATGGGGAGATGGGGGGGGGGGGGTCACTTGGCTCACAGCACAGGTACGATCGTTTATCGCTAGTTCAAGAACCTGGTTTCCCCTTCCCAGGTGGGCTGTTCCAAGGGAATAGGAAATAGTCATAAAGCGGGAAAAACAAATGACGCGTCTTTTTTATCTGGATTACGATTTTGTAAACTGCGCCCACCGGAGGAGCTCTGACTTCCATCCAACTACCAGTAAGTACCTGTTTCCAACTAAAAACATTAGTTTTTAGCAAGTCGGCAAGTCCAAATAACTGTATATGGTCTAGAGAGGAAAATATCCAATAATAACACCATAAAATTATCAAGTGCCGTACTGCGCCTGCTTGTAGCACAGAAAATGGTCAGATAGGGGAGAGTGGGGTAAATTGAGCCAAGGGTAAGTTGATGTTGGTCCCTAGTAAGCAGATGTTGGAAGTTAATGAAGATTTTGCCTGTATTGATGGTGGTGTTATTGTTCACTAGGTGGGCTGGTCCATCAAACATTTGCCAGAATTGCCAGATTGCTGTAACTTGCCTGTCTGGTTGCTAGAAATCAAAACTCAGATGTCGTACGACAGCAGCATGAGCTTCTTCTAGTACAATATTTCGTTCAAGCTTTCTGGACATTTAACTGTGAGCATGAACCTTAATGGTGGTATTAAAGTTATATTTAGAAGATCACCAAAGTTAATAGGATTCCTCTTCAGAGGATCATAAATGTCTGATAAAATGTAATGAAAATTCAACCATTAATTGTTAAGATGTCTGAATTTTAACTGACTGGCAGTGCTGCACACAGAGCAATGCAGCTAATATGGCTTGCAAAGCGTATGCATACATTCCCCCGTGATATTGATTGACTTTATACACTCCTAATTAAAATCCTCACTTATTTTTTATCTGTTGGTGTTAGGGGTAAGCATAAGGAAACCCCTACAGAGAAAGAGACAGAGAAACCAAGTGGGAGACATTATGCACGGTGTCTCCACCCTGCAGGGCAGTAAAGCATATCGATGGTTGGCTAGACTGCACCGGGCAGCTGCTGTGGCGTAAAGAGGAGCAGACCTGCCAGACACACAGATGTAGAGTAATGAGTCATTGTGTACTGGAATATTGTCAAAAGTCTGCATCTCTGTTTTGCTCCCTTGTTCTCCGTCTCCCCATCTCTCTCTCTGTCTCTCTCCTTCTCTTTGTATTGTGCCAGGCTCTGTGTTTATGCTTGAATTTGACATGAATTTCAATTTAATGAGCATCTTCCATGCCTCTGCTTGTTTCTATTTGAAGAATGGCACTGACATGGCGTTCAGATGAGGACTCAACTCTCACTTGTGACCACACGGTATGAAATAAAGTTTAATAAGGTCAGATTACACAAAGCAGCAGCAAAGGGCAGAATTTGTAAAGGTCACAGCAGGGGTAGAAAGGTCTCAGCGTGCAGCTCAGTAGGGAAATAAGGCAGAATAATATGACAGTGGGTAACAATGAGGGACAAGAAAACAAAGGCACCGAAATGCTGCATACATTTTAAGTTTTTTTTCCCTCACTTGTGCCCTCAATATTCGTTTGTCAGAGACTGAAGTCTGGCTTTGGTTGGTAGTGAACTTTTGTAAACCTTGCAGGTTCTATTTTTGGCCTTCGTTAAACAAAAGGTGTTTTTTAGAGTGGAACTATGGGAATCAATCCAAATGTATTAATGGACAGCAGAAACGTAACGTACAGTGGTTACAGACATGTCCCACCATTTATGTCTAGTGCATGTCAAGTAATTCAATCATACCATAATGGAGATGCAGAATATCTCCAAGAAAAGAGTCACAGTTCCCTTCGTTTTAATGTCTTCTTTTTAACGTAATTTTTGTCAGTGTTTTTGTATTTAACTTACAGAGCAAGTTTATGACTGCATATTAGAACATGAATGAAAGGGAGTAGCTGTACTCCTCCTCTGTTTCTTTGACTTTTTTGTGTTTATTAGCAGTTGGCAGACCAGCTAAGAGGTGCATTACTGCCACCTACTGGAACAATGGGGGATAAGGGCAGGGGGGGATACAGGGAAAGCAGGGAGATTTGGGCATCATCTCAATTATCATCCCTACCCATGTATATCAGAGAGTTGTTGAAAGTAGTTAAAGCATTTAAGTAGTTAAAGTAACATCACTCAATGGGAAAACCATCCAGTCATAGGGTAGAGTAAACATTACCATAAAACCACACTTTAAGTAGATACAATTGAAAGAACTAAATTATATACCCAAAAGCCTATGATTGAATATGCATGTCTTCCTAACCCCTCCTTCCCATGACACCCCTCAAACTCTTAAATAAGTGTTTTAGCCTTAAGTATTCCAAAAAAACAAAGTTGTCAAGCACACTGGTGTCAGCACAGTCTTTACAAACAACGGCTCATTTCATGATAGACTGGTTTAACTCCAAAACACAACAGCTTGAGTTTGTTTGATGTGTGAAACATACTCATAAAAGTTTGTCTTTGCACAGGTTGGGAGGCTGGATCCTCATTAGTGACCATCTGTAATCTGCTTAATGGTAAGAAACGAATATGAAGTATTAAAGAGTGACTCAGTCTAGTTGTAACTTACACCCCCTCTTAAAACTGTGCTACTGTAAGTGAATGAATTCAAGGTGATCGTAGTTGCTGTTGTCATTCAATGCTGAAAGGTTATTTGGTATACTAGAAAAACTAATTCATCTCTGTCAGATAAGAGGGACTGTGAGCTGAATCCTGTTTGAGTGAAGTTTTGTTCATGTGTCTACTTAAACGTCTGAGACTGCCATGTGCTGGAGAAGTTCGAGGAGGTCAGGTTGACATTGTACTGAGAATTCATAGAAGAGAGGCAGAGATAGACATATTTAGTTACAGATACTCAGTCCTTTTAGCTAGACTGTGATTTCCTAAGAGTTTCAACAAAAGCTTTTTCAAAACCACTTAATCATTGCTAGTATATTGAGCATCACTGTCCTTCTCTTATAGACCGATCAGCTTATTTATGTTTAGGTGTCATTTGATATGAATATTTTTGTGTTCCAGGCTGATGGTAAAAAAAATCCAGTTCGTAATGTTCTTCGTTGAGCTGCGTCGCCCCGCAGCAGACCGTAATGGACTGGCCCGAGGTCTCGCTACAAACAAGTGGCTGCTGGAGGAGAGTAGGTGAGTTTTGTTTAGTCTCTTTGCTAAAGAAAAAAGAAAAGTTCAAGAGATGTTTGGTGGCTAGTGCTGTGGCTTGGACCCTATATGTACTGTTGATGAAGTTAGGTGCTGTTCTGAGCATTATTTGTGGCTATAGAGTGGCGTTTTGGTTGAGGTTTGTTTATGGCTCCTCAGACCGCTGTGTATCGCTATCCTGCGGTCGTTACTAAAGTTGGTATAACTAGAGAAGCAAGCAGTCGGCAACATTCATCTCTCGAGGGGGTATCTAACTCAGTGTTACGGTGTGTTTGACCCTAACTTTATTTTACGCCGGAATATCCCTTTAAGTTAGGAAATCAAAGTCAAGATATCCGAGACCGCAGAAAAAATAACTTTATTGTTAGTATCAATATTGTTTATTGTTGTTAAATTGTTAGTTGCGGTTCTCTTTCCATTGCTAAAATCATCCTGGAAAGATCAAAATTGAACAACATGTCATTTGATTTTTAGCTCCACAGATGTTCCTTTTTTTTATCAACCTTGCAGCACATAACTGAAGCCAAACAGCCTCCAAACAATACCATGTTTTTGTAACTACTGCATTACTTTTTACAAAGTACTGTGAAGTAATATAAAACAAATTCAATTTAAACCACTTTTTTTGCTCTCGAGTTATCCCTGTTCAATAAACTCTTCCTACTAGCAGCAGTTTTAGTTGGAGTTGCAGCATGAAAACAGAAGCCAAACATACTCCCAACTCAGAGAACAATGCCACGTTTTATCACCAGCTACAGTGCCATCCGCTGGCTGGCTGGGCCGATGTGTGGACCCAGCGTGGCTGGATGTGTAGGAGAGATAGGGCGCTCCGATAGAGCCCGCGGCTACAGAAGAGCATTGTGTGCCTCTAAACCACAGACCCACAGTGTTGTCTTAGTTATGCATCAGAGAACTGGATGCGTCTTCTTTCAGCTCCCTGATTCCCTCACTGTGTCTCACATCCTGCCAGTTCTCCTATTTAGTCAAACGTGCAAAGCTATGTCTGCACAGGCTCAAATGTTGGAGTCTGCTGCCTGCTGTCCTACATCCCGGTGACTGTTCCTGGTTTCTTTCAGGCGTCCTCATGTGAAAAGGTAGACCTAATGGACTGGTGGCTGCAGGAATGTGGAAAATGGCCGATTACTGGTATGGTTCCAGTCAAAAAAATCTTTGAATTCAACACGAAAGATTTCTAAGGGTTGCAGTAAGTCAGGGATGAAATAGAGAGAGATGAAAAGAGCAGCATTGATTGGATTACTCAGCAAACCATAGAAAGAGAGAGTGAGAGGAAATGGCTCAGAAATCTTGGTTTAATAGTATTCTTTCAGACCGGCACGGGCTAATCACTGGAGAGTGTGACCGACTTTGAGTTATCACCCCTTTTATTGTATCAAAATTGATCACATTATCTCCCATCCATCCCTGTACATTCATCTCTGGTGAAAGCGGTAGTCCAGAGCCCATAATGGACAGATTAGAAGAAAACCTCTGTTCTGGCAACACTCAATATTTCCCCATTAGCACGGTGGCCTCTGGGATCAGACCTTTGGCACACATTAAAGATGTCAATACTGCTAATATTGTTTTTGGAGGTCCTCCACCTTCTCCAAGCTACAGCTTTTGTAACTAGATCTGTTTGATAAGATCTATTGAACAGAGCTGAGACTGGCAGCAAGAGACCTATAGGTCTGACTTTCTGTTGGAGAATAAAAGAGTGGGGAGTAACTCAAGTATATTCCCTCAAATCAGACCTTTAAGACCGAAGAACCTCCATTCAGTGTTAGATTTACTACATATAAACGTAACACACTGAAATGAGGGGCCACATTTCACCAGGTGTGTGACCCAGCTGGACTGATGGACTATCCCTGTCAAATTTATAAATTACTGTGTTGTATTTAAACACTCACCGCAATACAGATCTGTATTTTTTACTCACTCCAAGCATGCTGAAAATAAGCACAAAGTAGTTATTATATTAAAAACAGAAATAGTGCTGCTATTCACAATGTAAACTTGTATAAAGTGGTATAAAGTCTTTGGTTGTTGAGGGTCCTTCTGACATCATGGCTGGTCTCACCTTGCAAACTAGTACAGGATTGTGATGAAATCCCTGTGTTGAAGGATTTTTGTTGTTTTTTTTATGTTGAGGTTCATTTCTGGATTCCAGAAAGTGATCCTGCCAGGGACAAACAAGCAAGAGTAGCAGACAGACAGCTGACTAAATGCAGTTGATTTTCAGTTTTCAAAAAACTTATGAACCAAATTGAAGAAGCCGGTCGGAAATGTAGAAACAACTGAGAGATGTGAAAAAACATAAAAAGAGTGTCAAAAAGTTCAAATGTTAAAGAAGAGTATGTCTGCACATTTAGTCAATGAAACATTCTCTTTAATAAGGTGACCATACGTCCTCTTTTACCTGGACATGTCCTCCTTTTCGGGGGGTTGTCCAGGCTGTCCGTCTTTGTCCGGGGAAGTTTATAAAATCCTTCAATTATCTGCAGTTTTGTACATAAGTTTTAATGTTGTGTCGCGTGGATTTACTGAGTTAGAAGCACGTAAAAGGCACTAGATCTGACCCAAAAACTCAAAGTGAACTTCGTGCAACTCCGTGATTCTGCCCCTGTGTAGTTGTGTCCTCTTTTTTGAAAGTCAGAATATGGTCACCCTATCTTTAATGCACAAAGTTTTCAGTTCTTCAAGCCTTCTTCAGAGTATAAACGTCCAACTATGAACAGGCAGGTTTAAATGAGAGGACAGTCAGCAGTATGTTCTAAGCACCTGTGTGCACACTCTTGTAATTGAGACCACAGCCACTGGGATATGTAATTCTTGATCTGGTTTGAAGCATCCGAATGGAGACAAACTTCACATGTCAAACAATAAAAGAGAGTGAATGTGGAAAAGATACAAGAGGAAATTAACAAGTATTATATTTCTATTATTATACATTTTATCAGTCGCTGTAGTCTCTTCACTTAAACTACCATGTGAAAAATTGTAATTGTTGTGACAAAACCTGAAGAAAATTTCTCAAATCTTAGAAAAGCATCAGAGTGTTAATTCTGATTTGCAGAAGCTAATGTCATGTAGAGCTATGATCCTGTTAAACTACATTTCTCAAAACAGCATCTGAAATTGTAAATGAATGTAATAATGCATTTTTACCACAAGAGGGCAGCATTGTATTTTCAAAAGTCTACAGGAATTGTTACCTCAGTGCTATCATTGTGTGTTTTTCACCTTACCATTTAATATTACAGAAACCTTACAAACTCAGCAGCATGAACAGCAACAAAATTTGGGTTTTAAATTAGAGAATAAAAAAGTTTTAAATCAGTCAGAGAAGGAAACTGTTTTTAACTGGGTTTTTCTAAATGTGCCAAGATTTTAAAAATGATCTCATCAGTCTGTCAGTCTTGCTCAGCAGCCTTCATCACAAACGAGGGACAGCAGTGTATTTTTAACATTACAGGACACTTCCTAATCTTTTTTTGCTGGTTTTTCTCATGAATGAGCGTAGACTGTTTCCCCTTCATCCTGTTACCACGGGAAATGAAAACATATCCCCTTGTGCGTGTGCATGAGTGTCCTCACTGCAGCAGTGCTGAGGTCATATCCATTGGGATGGCCAGGATGGTGCGTGGACAGGATGAGGAATAGAGCCCTACTTTCTGAGTTAGACAAATACCTCCATCCTCCTTACTAGAGCGTTCACCGGGGACAACACAAAGACCAAAATCAGCAATACATAAGCATCAATAATTAAGCAGCCACACACAGAGTGAGAGGGCGAGGGGAGGGTGGGGTCTTGGATGGTGCATGAGGTTGGCTCTGATGTGGTCCTAAATGCTGCTAATGTCTCTGAACATGTCACAGAGGATGAATTGAAGCAGGATGCTTTTTTGTTGTCACCTAATGACTGAGTTGTAAAGCACTTTAGAGTCCCTTTTTAGTTGAAACCTTATTTTTCCTCAGATCTTCCTCCTTTTCTTCCTCCTGTCTGATTGTATTTTGCTTCCTTTTGCTGCTAGTTTTCATAGACTTCTCCCAGACGGCCAGACGTACTGGGTCAAACCTATCCTATGAACAAGTACACCCTATATGACCCAACCTGGCTCAGCCTGCACCTTATCATTTATTTATGAGAGCCACTATCAGTGTGCTGCTGAACAAAACAACAGTGATGTCACTGCTTTCATTTCTCTCAGCGTTTGCTGGCTGAATGATAAAATCCGCTTTGCCACCAGAAGATTAAAAACTTTGAGCTAAAATATTGAAACGCTTAAGAATGATTAAAAATGATATCAAGATTACAATCACAGCAAATTTCACTAAATCTAGCCAGGAAAGATTTTAAAAAAGTTTATTTCCTCTCTGCTCTGTGTGGTGTTACTGTGACAAGTCCTCTAAGAGATTTCAGTCCGCAGGCAGTTTTATTTTGGAAGGAAAAGGGGCTTTGGTGTTGTGTTCCTGTAGGGGCTCTGGGACAAGTGGAGGTCTAGGATTTCTCCCACTGTCACTTTGTCCTTGTGGAGTTTCTTTCCTCACCACCCCCCCACCCCTCTCCTATCTTTTGCCGCACACCAATAGGAATGGCAATTACTTCTGAGGCCTGCATGAGAGATGTGCTGCGTTGGTGTCCTGGGTTTTCCACTGTGAAATTCAAAAATGAGCCACTAGGGGGAGAGGTAGAGCTGACACAGGAGGTAGCGGACAAAAATGGAGAAAGAAAAGGGGAAATTTGTGGAGAATGCAGGCACCTTTAAAAGAAACAGAGAATGGCAGTGAGCTTAACTGGAAGTGAAAACGTGTCTGAGAAAAGCTGAAAGACTTAAACAATGGATGTGGAGTGAAGAGAAGAAATATGAGAGCTAAAGTGGGGAAATGGAGACAGCAGACGATGGAGACAGCCACAAGAGAGAGTAGAAAAAAAATGTTTGCCTGTAGTTGTTGTGTGTGTGTATATATACAGGAGTAACCTGTGTTCCCTCACAGTTTGTCTTTGGCATCTCGCTCAGCAGTATGTTTCCATTCAGGGGGCTCGGAGAGAGAGCAGTGACCTGAGGGAGACCCCGTAATTATCCTCTGTGTCTGTGACAGGCCGGGATAATCAGTCTCACTGGGAATACTGGCAGAGATCTGTGAACGAGTGGTTTTGAAAGACCCTAATCCTCAATGAAGAGCACTCTTAGCTTTCACGCTGGTGACTGGAGTGCTCTCACAAGGCGCCTTTTACCGACACACTCAGGTCAGAGTGTGTGTAACCCAGCACTCGGTCCATCTCTGTTTTTATTGTACAACGTAGCCTCTATTTCCCAGAAGCAGATTAGAAAATGGATTTTGATTTAGTTTTCTTCCAGTTTAGGTAATAGGACATGGAAAACAAGTTGAGCAACAGGATAAAATAAAATCTAAATTAGCAGTTATGGTGATAATGTGGTGGTAAATCAGTGCTTTATTTATATTTTGTTAAAGTCAGAATGCGTCAGAGTATTTCATATTTAAGGCTGTTAAATTACACAGTTTAGAGCAAAAAACACACAAGTCACATTAGAACAAGTGTTTGGACCTCAGAAAGTAAAGGTTAACATGCACACTTATGCTTTGAAGTGCTTAAACACACATACACACATCAGGATCTGTTCACACAAACACCATAGTGTAACATCTCAGATCTTTCACAGAGGCCTCAGATAGAAATCAGTGGCAGAAAAACTCACACCCAACATAGAAACAAATTTTTATACCACTAAATGTGCAAAAAGAAAAAAAACAGGACACATTTTTGTTGACATTTAAACATTTTTCTCTCCTGCTTTCACTGTGCAACAGGAAATTGAATCTTTCCACATCAAGCTCCAAAGTGTTCGGTGTCAAAGTTCATGGAGAAATAATGACTCGGTTGTACACACTGGTTGAAATACTTGTTCTAGTATGGCATGCGCAATGAGAGGAGCAGCGTTCCCACCGGGGGGCCTTGGAATCAATTACCTCTCTCCCGAGGCAGCGGATTGGCTACCGGGGAATGACAACATGCCAGACAGCGGCACAGTCAGGCTGTCATCGTTTGATTTACACATAATCAACTCCTAATTGTATCACATTGGGCTGCAGGTACATGTAATTTAGTAGAGAGTGTGAATTCACAGGGGTTTTGGCAGGCAGAGCTGTTGTGTCCCTCTGGTAATGAAGTAGAGGCGAGCGCTTTAATGTGGTTGGCCCCCGGTCGTCCTGAGCTGCAGTCACAGAGGCTTTTGGAAGCAGACTGTTGTGCGTGATAGACAGCTGACATGACCGGCTCCTGAGTTGCCAGTCAATCCTCAACTTGAAAGGATTTCCCTTTTCCTGTATTTGCCTGTTGTCTTCTCCGTCTCTCAGAGTGATCAGCTTCTAGTTACGTCAGTTTCTCTCTGGACGTTAAAGTTTGCAAAGTTTACAGCAGGAGAATGACTATCCAGGTTAAGGGCAACTTAAATCATTAATTGGATCATGTGACTCTCAGAGTGCTCTTATGTAATAAATCATCCAAACCTTATGAGCCAACAGATGGTATCATACAGTCTCTTCCTCTTCCTTAAGCATTGACTAAATTTACCCCCTCGCTGCGTCCATGACATCAGAGAGAGAAGAAAAAGGCAGCAGACTCCCTGGAGCATCAAAATGCAGACAGACTGAAAAAAAATAATCACGTGACCGCTCTATTAATCTGCTGTATTATGGCCTGTAATCAATATATATTTTGTTCTTCCCCAACAAAACCATTTATCAAAGCAAATCTCCTCCTGCGAAGGTTTTAAGATGTCAGGAGGAAAGAGTGAGTTCTTTTTAACATGCACCTTTAAAACATTTATAGTAGATATAATATGGACTGTAAGAAATTACATACAGTTCTGCAGCTCTTCCTATTAAGCTTTCATAAAGTTGGATGTTAGATAGATTTATAAAAGATAGATTTACGACACATTTCTGTCCTGATTTCTTTTTGTTGGAGCGCGTTACAAGCACCATCAAGGTGAAATCTGCTAATGTGTACCAATATTCAACTTTTTGACAAAGTCTGTCAGGTTAAAGTTTCAGTTCCATTTGACAAAGTATGAAGGAACTTAGAGTGATAAGGAAGCACACTTTATTTTCTTGTGGAGGACTTATGTTGCCGTTTCAAAATGAAGTATATAAATAGTTGAATAAGTCATGAAATCATCACGTAGACCTATCGAAATTTAATCTGACTGATATTATGACAGAAAAGGCAGTTTTGCTATTGACTGTAATGTTCATGATTTGTGAAAAAGTACCCTTTTCTGTCTCATATCAACATTCTTTATATACCTTTTATTCAATATATAGTTTAGAACTTTTTTTCTTTTCTAATAGCTGAAAATGTGGCTGCGGCTCAGTGTAAATCACATAACTTAATCTTAAATATTACCTCTGCTTTGAGAGCTGGTGGGTAAATCACAGCGCTCTAAATTGCCAGTTATTTCATAGGAAAATAAAAAGCCATATTGTACGTCTCAGATTTAACCGATGTCCAGGAATTTAGGCTATATAGCTAACAGTATATAAATTCAATGCACCTTTTCGGGTCTTTACAGCACCCTGTAGGTAAACTCAAAAGCGCCTTTCTCACAAATGTGGAAACAATTCACATGTTCTCCAGTTGAGTGGACTCCTGTTAGGTATTTTTTGGACACATAGTAAAATGGCATATTGTAATTGTACCTGTTCTA